AGCTTCCACTTATCAGTGGGTGAGCCATTCAGGCTGCTTGCGCTTATGCAAAGCACTAAGATGGGGTCAGGGCCAACCTGGCTTGGGGACTGGATGTGACAATAACTGTTAATCCTTATAGGCAGTCCCTTACTGCCAGGCTGATATCCTCCAATAGTGACCTTGGACACAATCCTAGAAATTGGTGGTACTTTTGCCCCATTTTATAGACAAGGCTGGCAGAAGTCTGGTTCCAGAAGCTGTGGTTTTTAACTGGACTTTGCTTCAGTAAGAAGTGCTATTTCTTCCAGAGGGGTTATGGCATGCTCCATGCTGCCCTGAGATTTTAATTAGTAAAATGTATAAATCTGAAGTGACAACTCAGTGAATTGTATATATATGCATAATGGTGTGACTAGTTCCCAGGTCAAACCATTATGCCCAGGATAACACGTTTTTCTGTCATCCCAGCTGGCTTCCACATGCCATTTCACAATAAGATAAATATCTTATTATCAACTTTTTTAGTGCCCTCTGCAAAGCTGAGAGAATGTTTCTCCTCTCTTCTGTGACTTCCAGGTACCATGATCTACTTTGCTTTCCCACTCCCAGCCCCCTCCCTTCCTGCCCTTTTCTCTTCCTCTCCTTCCCCCCCCCGCCCCCACACCCACCCTGCCTCCCTGACTACAAGATCTCTGTCTCAGACACAAAATGCCATACACAAAATCCCATGTGCCTTTGATCACACTGCTTTTTCCTCTCTGGGTTCTCAGTTTCCCTCAATGTCTGTGACCTCTAGATTTCAAGTTGAGAAGGTTTAAATAAATGTCGGGGTCATGATGGTTTCCTCACAGGACTGCAGTAACAGAAAAGATGATAAATGAGCACTCCTGAGCATTTTGTCCTCTCCTCCCCACTCCCCTTCCTCCTCTGATGGTCCCAGGCAGGAAAAAAAGCTCCCACCTTTGACAAACCTCAGAAGCCCAAATTATCCATGGTTGGCTCCCAGTGCCTGCCAATCTGCAGGCAGAAAATGCTTTCTCCTGACTCTCTTAATCCTCCTGTTGCATTTTATATCCCCCTCCGAGAATAGCTGCTCCTCACAAGGACTCACGTTCCCTTGTACCCCTCCAGCTGCAACCAAAGGGATCTTTGCAAAATGTGTATTCCCCCATTCTCATTCTCCTGCGTCAAATCTTTGAGGGTCCTCTGTAGCCTGGCACTTTTGAACTGTTATTCAAGGTCCTTTCCAATTCCACCCCTGCCTGTATCTCTCCATTCATCTCCTGATGCCTTCAGAATTGCTTGCTGCAGCCACACCAGGCCTCTTGCAACTTGAACATGTTAGGTATTGTCATGCCTCCATGCTGATACATACACTGCTCTTGCTTTCTAGGATGCTCATACTCTACTTCTAACTGTCCAACTCTTACACATCCTCCAGGACCAAGCTTTACTACCCATTCTGTATGATGCCCACACTCCAGCTATGTACAGCCCTGGAAAAGACTTGGTTACATTGGGCCAGGGAATTTTCCAACTCTCTGTGTGTACCTGGAGTCTGGAGGGATAATTAGGATGTTTAGAAAAAGGGAAATAAGTGGGAGAGGAAGTCCAAAGTCTGCCTGAATTCCTCAGTGATAAGGACTACAGGGAGCCGTCCTGGCCCTGGCCCTTAAAGGGCGATGGTTGACCAGAAGGCCAAAGGCAGGACCATGAAAAAGAATTGATACTGTCCAGACCAATAGTCAGAGATTTGGTCCCATCTGGGAATGCACATTTTCTGGATGACCTCAGGTCCCTCTTTGGTTCTCCATTTCCTCTAATCTTTTCCAGATGAAGTCTATCATTCAATTATATTCCATCAAAGGAAGAATTCATCTTCTAGGTCACCCCGACTTGATTCAGAGACATCCCAAGCTCCTGGGTTACCCTGGGCACTCCTATGCCCACCTCTCTTCCAAAGTGCTTCTCTAAACTACCTCTCAGGAAGGGCTCTGTGGCTGTGCTTCTGGGGAAGCAGAGTTGGTTAGCAAAGTTGGCCTAACTCTCTTTCACTCTCAGAGAGTTCCAGGCATAAGCTGCTAGGAATCTTAGTCCCCACGGTGTCTGGGCAAGGGGAATGTATCTCTTGGTCAACTGAAAGATCATAGCCCTGGCTTAAGAGGACCTAGAAAGTAAGGGCATCCATTTTCCTGTCCTCAGACCATAACATTAAACATTTTGAGTTCCAGAGACAGAAAACTCAACTGGCTTAAGCCATAAATAAAGGCATTGGTTCATGTTGTGGGAAACAGTTCTGGTTTCAGGCATAGCTTCAATCAAGGGCTTAGATGATATTCAGAAAACCTGGTTTTTCTCCATCTCTTTATTCTGCCTTCAGTTGTATGGTTTTCATTACTGTGTTCCATTTGTCAACAAGATGGTAATGGAAGTTCCAGCCCCTGCCTCCTTTAGGTTTCCAATCCAGTGGGGAAAAGTAAATCCACTTGCCTAGTAGCTTAATCCAAAGTCCCAGGAGTGAGCCTTCTGGCTCTGAGCAGCCTGACTTGGGCACGTGCCAGGCAGTGTGGCTGGGAATGCACTGATTGACTTAAGTCTTGGGCATATGTCCATCCACTGGAAAAGGGTTCATCGTAACCCCATGAACTAGGGGTAGGGAAGGAAACAGCTTCCCAGATAGAGATGAGGATGTGGCACCAGAGAATAGTAAAGGGTGGTGGAAGGTGGAAACAACAGATGTCCCCTCCACTACCTCCATCCAGCTTTCATGTCACAGTGTGATGGGAGGTGAGAATGGGCAGGACAATCAGGAGAGGCTGGAAGGGGCCGGAAAGCATAAAGAACCCTGTTGCTGGTGGACAACAGGGCTGGCAAGGTACCTGCAGGAGAAGCGTGCTCCTAGACAAGCAAGATAAACCAGTGATCTTGCTTAGGGTGGCCGGTCCCTGGATTTCTCTTTCAGAGACCATCTCTGGGATCCTCTTGACCATCCTTCTTCCCAAACTTGAGTATGAGCCAGGCACAATGCTTAAGACACGGCATTGTGAGCATTTCAGCCTGAATAACCCTCATGGAAAAGAGGGGAAGCTCGTGACCCCCCCCCCACCCCAATGAGGATCCCTCGGCACAGTTTCCTTTAAGTCTCCTGTCTTTTAACTGTTTTGCAAATAACTGTATCCTGTTCCATGACAGATGTGTTTTAATATGCCAAGTTTTAAATGACTTACCAGCTCAGGTGTTTACCCCAACTGACTGGCAAAGTAAATGATCCAAGATGAGATCCATGTTCACTGTTTAGCTTCTAGGCCAGTGGCACATGGGCAGGGTTCTGGATGCTGGGAGAGTCTGAAAGGTGTCTTGGACAAGGAGACCTTTCCTTGGACCTAAACTAGGTCGGCCATGGTGCCAACTACATATGGGAAAGTTGGACTATAGGAGAGCTGCAAACAACAAAGCTCCATAAAGCCTTCAACAAAGAATGAGAGAGTTATTGGTGTGAAAGAGTCTCAGCTTTGCAGCCTGAGAGGCATTGGATTGTCCAGCCTCAGCTGGGACCCTTCTCCCTTGATGACAGTGGAGAGCCACTGTCACCTGGGATGCACATTCTTCACAGGGTTGACTTACTTAGATCAATGGTCAACTTGCTGTGTACTTTGGTGCCTGCAGTCCAGATAGGGACCCCCTTAAAGGAAGGAAATGAAAGGAAGCCCCCACCTATGCTCTTCCCACAGACTCACTTCAAGAAACCTTCAAATCAGCAGGGGAGGTGGTTGGGGTCCATTTTGCCTAAAGAGAAACTGAGGCCCCAGGGAGGTAAGGACCCTGTTCCAGGATGGGAAGAATAACTTGTTAGAGACACTAAGAATCTCTGATTCTGGAGAAGTCTTGCTGGATCCTCTCCTATGTGCTAATGCAATGTTATCCTTCCTGGGCATAAAAAAAAAAAAGGAAACTTGTTGGTTTGCCAGGAATGGCTGCTACTCCTCTAAAGTCAAAGAGACAGACAGGAGCTACCACCAGCCCAGTCATTCCTCCATGGTAGATTTTACCCACTTTTCCCATCCAAGAGTTTCTAAAAACTGTTTGTTTATTGTTTTTCCTTTCTGGTTGCTTCTATACAGCCATCCCCCTACTCACATGTCTGCCCAAGTGCCAATGTCTTGCCACACTGATCTGCCCTACCTGCACCTTGATCCCTGGCAAGTGCACTGTGGAAAGCAGGAGAGAAGTGTAGGATTTTCCACCCCTTCCCTCCAATTTCCAGAGACAGAGGAGGCCTAGTGGGAACTCAAGACATTCTAGAGGGGCCTCTCTTACTTCCTTAAACTTCCCTGACCTTTATCAGATCTGGTATAGCTTGAATCATCCAGAAGCTAAGGAGGCGGGAGGTAAGGTCTAGACAAGGGGAACCACACCCCTTCCCAATCTGGTAAGCATGGGACTGACAGGCTCCTGGAGTGGGATCAGAAGCTGCAAAATGCCTCTGTTCCCTGATTCCTCCAAGGCCTGGCCACACAAATTGGAAGCTGGAATCCAGCTCCTCAGAACAGGGTAGCCCAGCTGAGCCCCAGCCATCTAGGGAGACTGAGGTAAGGGTAGAGAACCCCAAACCAAGCTGGAGAATGGCAGACTCCAATGGACCACCTTGGGGATCTAAGGAGAGGCTCTCTTATCCCTTGCCAGGGTCATGCTACCACTTACAGTCAAAGCATCATTACTGGGGAGCCACCTAGAAGCCATGACAGTGCTCTCAAAGTAGACGAACTTTGGGAATAATGGACAATAATTTGGGGTCAGATCTAGGTCAGGGTCAGGGTCCAGTCTGGGCCTAGGATGGATATGTAGTCTGGGGTTGGGATGGGGGTTCAGTATGGTATTTGGATCACCCCGGGGAAGTCCTGACTGGGTCCTACCTGGTCCCATGCTCCTGGAAATCGTGGATGAGAGGCAGGCTGTGGACAAGGCTGACAAGCACCCCCCCACCCCCCCACCCCCACCCCCCGTCTGTTTCCCTGCAGGGCGGCCGGGCAGCCAGATTGCAGCAGGAATGTGATTATCTGCAGATGATCGAGGTGCAGCACAAGGAGTGCCTGGAGGAGGCCCAGCTGGAGAATGAGACAGCAGGTGAGGCCCAGTGGGAAGAGAGGAGCCGCAGACCCCATGGAGCCCCATGTCTCCTCCTGTTGTGAGCTGAAGTCCAAGTCACATACACTCCACATTGGTTAGATGGAGATCACAAGGGACAGGGATTGCCCCACAGAGCTGCTAGGTGGTAAGTTGGGAGAAAGAAGGTCGAACAGGTCTTCCTGTTCTCCTCACCCTACCCCAGGTCTGGGGAGCTCCCAGCTATCAACAAAGAACCTACTGATTTGGGGCTCTGAAATTGGTGAGGGTTCAAAATGAGTGGGGATGATACTTATGGCTGCTGACCCATCCAGGATGGAGGTCCAGGGTTCTAGGTAATAGAGGCTTATGGACAAGAAGGCAGGCAAGTTCCAGGACACCCAGCCCAGCCCATAGAAAGGCTGGAGTAGCTGCCCAATGGGAGCACTACTGAATCAAGTCTCTAGCCACGGACTTGGTTAGAGCCAGGATGGGGAGGCCTGGAACTAGAGCACCATACTCTGGGATTAGACCATTGTATTTCAGAGGAAGAGTGGGGCATTCAGTCAGTGACCTCCACAGGGACTACCTGGAAGCTCAAAGCCATCTTGGAAATGCAGAGCAAGGAGTACTAGGCTAGTCTGGACAAATCTGGAATACTTAATCATAAGAGAAGCTGGAGCCCTGCTTCTTTCTCCCAACCCTAAATGCTGCCAGCACAACACCCAAAGGACTAACAGTGACACTGCCCATACATAATAGTCCTTAGGCACACACAGTGGCCTACCCATCCCAACCCACCATCAGTAGGCCCAATGAACCATCAGTTCATTGTCCTGCTTAGTAGACCAGTCAAGGTCAGCCCTAGAGGCCGAGCACATGAGAGTCCCTGCTGCTCCTCCTCAAGGATCTGGGAGAACTCCAGCCTGGTAGTATGAATAGTGGTACCCAGCTGCCCAGGACAGGGCCACCAGGACAGCTCAGCAACAGGAGGTTGAGCCAGATTTTGGAGGGTGAACAGGTTTGGAGAAGCAGAGAAGCTGGGAAAGTGGGGATACCAAGGCAGAGCCTGTTGAGAGCCAGGCGGGTCAGGTTCAAGGCTCACTGAGGATAGAAGTTGGTTCCTTAGGCAGAGAGTGAAGTAACTGCATCTGCTCTGGGCCTCCATCCCAGGTCATCTCCACAAGGCTGGGCTTACAGGGATGGGACAGCCTGTAAGAGTCAAGAGCACCTCTCTGCCCTGCTGGGTTCTCCAGATCCCCAGCCATGGCCCTGAGGCTGACAGTTATGGAACCTCTCCTGAGCCCCTGCTCCTTGGCTCTGATGCCCAAGCTCTATCTCTTGCACACATAAGTGAGGGTATGTGACCTCACAGATGGGCCTTGCCCCTTACAGGGTAAAATGCTCCTGTCTCCTGAGTCCAGGACTGAGGCTGTGTCAAGGGGTAGCTGGAATTGCCCTCTGCCTATGTGCCCCATACTGCCCTTGTGAGGGTAGAGAGGAGGATCAGGCTGCAGACAGGCCCTAGCAGGCCTCCAGATCATGGGCTGGCCTGGGAGACCCAGACCCCAGACTCTAGGCCCCACTTTAGCGCCTTCCCAGCCCTGGGGCAGGCCACCTCGTGATGTTGATGAGATCACTGCTGGCACCTGGTGCCTGTTGAGTGCCAACACCCTGTCATTCGGCAGCCAGCCTGAGATCCAGGGGAGGGCAGGCGTAGGTCTATGGGCTGTGTGTCTGCCCATGACCTTGTGTGGGACTGGGTGTGTGTTCCTGTACATGTGAGTTCACACTTCTGGTGCATACCTATCTGGGGTTCTGTCTCTCTGGGGTCTGTTGCTCTGACTCTGAGTATCCCCAGGAGTCGTGGATGTGTGCCTGTGCATGCTTAGATGCATCTGCCTGGTATCCTGTACCCCTGTGTGTCAATTTGTGAGCATTTCTATTAGAGTAAATGTCCATGGTATACTCAGATGGGTCTGTCCTTGTGCATGTCTGTCTCTGTGAATTGTGTGGCCCTCTGTACCTGTTTGCTTGTGTCTAGTCTTCTCATGTCCATGTAAGTATCTGTGTGTGTGTATGTGTGTGTGTGTGTGTGTGTGTGCGCGTGCCTGGGGTTCTGTGTGTCTCTTTGTGCATGCACTTCTAGAAAATGACACAGCAGAGGCCCAATGCCACCCTGCCTTGCCATTCCTTATTTCATGCCTCAGGGTGGGCTTTCCTATTGGGATAACAACCCCACCCAGTGGGCACACAAAAAATATTCCCAGGCCAACAGGCCATTCCACATACCAAACATTTTCATGGCTATGACCCCTCTACTTCTTCCCTGACCCTGCTACTTCAGCAACCAGTCCTACCCTGCCTTCTACAAGAGGCTTCCCCGAACACATCCCCCATATTGTCCTCTTCCCTGGCTTCCTGCCTTACTTGATGGCCTGCACCCCAGGACCAGTTGTTTGGTTGTGATTCCTTGAGGCCCAATGTGACCTACCTGAGGTCAGGGCCTAGTCTCCCTCTCTTCTGATCCACCTCTGGTGAAGCCAAGTTCCGGGCCAGAAGCCGGGTTCTGAATCGGCTCCCTAGACTGTGCTGGCAGCTGGAGCTTCAGAGAGTCTGAAGTCTGGAGGGGACCCAGACAACAGTAGCTGGCCTACAAAACAGGGTGTGGCAGGCACTGTCAGAGAAGGATAAACAAAGTCCAGCAGCAACCAAATCCCCAGAGAAATGTCTTGGAGCCCTTCAAACCAGCAGTGGGAACAGGCGAATAGGCTGCACCTCCTACCAGCAAGGTGACCTTCAGCTATGCCTAATCATGATGCCTTAGTTTCCTCAGATGTGAAGTGGAAGGGTTAAATAAGCTATTCCTTTAAAGAGGGCAGAAGAGTGCCAGGCACATACCAAGCCTACATGTGTTTGATATTAACAGGGTCTTAAACCATAAGCAGAATTTGACTGGCCCGACAGGCCTCTACGTGGCCTCAAGAGAGGCTGGCACAGGAAAGGAGGAGAACCGGCAGCCAGACCAAGGCTGCAGGTGCTCTTGGGGTAGGTTGGGGTGGAAGCGGTTGGAGCGCACGAGGAAGGGAGACTAGTCCGACCAGACCCCAGGGTTCAAGTGTCTTCTTCAGCCTTTAGCTGCAGGTGCCACCTGCCTACTGCAAACCCAGAGGTCCCTGCCTCCAGTCTCCACTCCCACTGCTGCCCCAATCCAGCACTCAGAGTCTCTTCCCCTAAGTGGGGACATCCCTCCACCTCCTCTTCCCAGGCCCCCTTCTTGGGAACTTGTGAACCTTCGGACCTGGGCTGGGCTGGGCTTGGCCCAGCTGGCGTTGACTTTGGCTCAGGGGTTGGGTTTCCTGAGCAAATCTATGGGACTGGCAGGATTGCAAAGAGACAATTAAGCCTCCCTCAGGGGAGGGGGTCCAGAGTAGTTGTAGTCACTCAAGGGCACCCTGATCCTAAAGAGGCAAAATTATGGCATTTGCATCTGCCTAGTAAATCAGATCTCTGAAGACGCCCCTGACTAGCCAGGTCCTGCAAAACTCATAGCTACACAGTGAAGCCCACAGCCTGTGCTGCAGGCTTTTCTCTGATGCCCCCATCACCATTCCTAACCCAACTGAGCTGGAGACATTTGTTCTGATGTGTGAGCTTTATGCAGAGTCTCAAAACCTAGATGAACCCTAATATACTTGTCACCCCATTGTACCCAACACCTCCTTTTTATAACAACATTTTTTCTAAGGTCTCTTTTTACTATTATAAAATGAGATTCACAATCCACTCATATTCATTCTTTAAAAAAAAATTAGGGTTTATAATTGGCCCTTCTGGGACATGTTTTGCTTTTTGAATGTGTCGTAAAAGTCTTGTTTGTGTCAGTAAAGTAGGATCTATCACCATTGTTGAAATTCCTTAAACTGCTGCTGATGAGAATTTTGTGATACATTTTTGAAATCTAAATGTCAGTTTTCTCAAAAATCGTAAAAAGAAAGGTCATTGTGCTACCAAAAAAAGATGTTCTAGCTATAATATGAAAGACAAACAAAAAGGAAAGTAACTTGTAATACAATGCTGTGTACACATTCAGGCATGATTGCACTAAAAGATAAGAAGATATGGTCTGAAGGTTGTACCTATAAATATAAATTCTGGGAATGTGAGGGCAATAAATGCAGATTGATATATGCAGGTGGTTATATCAGTGACTCAAATATCACAAACAGTGTTGCTGTGGGTAACATGATTTCCCAAATCATCAAATGACTCTAAAGTTCAGAACAAAACAAGGTATATTCCTCTCCCCCTTTTCTCAATGGTTACATTCCTGGAAAACTTCATGCATGTTAAGCCCTGTGCAAAAAGCACCTTAGGTTTTCACGTAAAATAGACCAAGAGTCCAAGCTCTGGTCATTGCAAAAGGTTTTCATCTACACAGATGCCCAGTGGCACATCTGAAAGTCATGCAGAATGTAAGAGGATTTATCACTGTGTAGGACCATCCAGGTCACCTGCCTGGCATCCCTGGTTACTGCCCATCAAATACCAGATGAAGCCTTCCATCACTGCAATAAACAAAACCTCCAAGCATTCAAAATACCCCAAAGGGGCACTCCATCCCTCACTGAGGACCATGGAGTGGTAGTCATGCCTTCTCTCCCCTCTCCCTGTCAGGACATGTCCTGAACAGCCTTGGCAAGTCTGTGCCTCCCCTCTCAGACTGGAGCTCCTCAAAGGTAAGAGACTGTCCGGAGGAGGAATAGAGTGGTACCTGTGAGCTCAGGTCCCAGGGCTTCTCTGGTGACCCATGTGTCCTCTGCCTTCACCACACAGGCTGCAGCAAGATGTGGGACAACCTTACCTGCTGGCCGGCTACCCCTCGGGGCCAGGTAGTCGTCTTGGCCTGCCCCCTCATCTTCAAGCTCTTCTCCCCCATTCAAGGTAAGAATCCTGGTCTGAAGGGCAGGAGCTATGGTGGTGTATGTGAGCCTGCTGGAGTAGGGACTCCCTTTCTCAAGGAAGGGGAAAGGCAAAGGGACGTAGACAAAGGGGTTGGAGTGATGGGGGGTGACAGGGGAAGCAACAACCCTGGATCTTTGAAGGACTCAGGGGATTTGATTAGCTCTTCACAGAGAGATAAGAATGTGGGAAGGGCTCACTAAATATTTGCTTAACAATTGATAACTGATTGACTGACAGGTGCTTGATTAAATTATGGCTCCCGTGTTCCTGTTGTCTTGGGTTGGTTGTGATTCAGTCTTTTGCTGCCTGGAGCCGATGATCTTTTGGGCTCCATGAAACTGCCACACAGCTTTGCTTACACACATTGTCTTGTTCTGCTTAAATGAATGTTCACATGTGAGACAGAAATTTTAAAAAAGGGAACTCTTTAGGAAGTGGGTTTTCTTGCTCCTGAGTCATTAGAAGCCTCCAACACACGGTCATTCGTTCTTCCTTTCAGTGGATGAAGTACCTGCTAGTACACGAAGAACAGGGTTAGACAACAGTATGAAGGGGTTACTAGAAACAACCACCCTCTGCCTGCCTTCTGGGGGAGCAAGGATCTAGCTGGAGAGGCATTTAATGTGGCAATAAATAAATATGTCATAAGGGGTCAGAAGTTCTGGGAAGGAGAAAGAAGAGAGCGAGGGCACTGTACGGCAGGTGTTTACAAACAGCATTTCTAAGGAGGTGATGCTTCAGCTAACAGTGTGAAGACCTGGAGGTGAGAAAGGGTCACTAGGCAGAGATCCTGAGCCAGGGGATAAGTGTGAGAGAGAATCACTAACTGTACAATAAATATTTAAGGAAACCCCTGAAGGATGGCATGGCTGGAGTTCAGAGGAAGGAGGTGAGGGTAGATACAGACTCTGCAGGGCATTGATGACCTATGTGAGTTTTGTCCCAAGTCTGGTGAGAAGCCATAGGGGATTTGGAGCAGTGGACAGGCATGGTCCAATTTGGGTTCTTGTTGGAAACTCTGGTTTCTCTGAGAGGGAAATGGGAAGACTCAGTGACAAGGCATACAATATTTGATGGTGGCTTGAATTCAGTTAGAAACTGTGGTGGAGGAGAAAAGTGTGAGAGGTTTGTGTAATGACAGTGTGGAGGTGAGAGAGGGGACAGAGAGAGAATCTACATGCACTCCACACCAGTCCAGGTTGCATGAAAGTGTAGGAGGAGCTATAAGGGGGCAGGAAGGATCCAGAGAATAGCAGGATGGATGGAGAGAACTGAGGGAGGAGGAGAGAATATGGAAAGAGAATGGATAGAAGAGCAATGTGGTGAAGTGAACTGGTAAAGGATTAGGATGGATGGAGAGAAGAGAGACAGGGGAACATGATGGACAGAGAGGACTGAGTAAAGAGGGGATGGTTGTGGGATAAGGAGTTAGAAAGGATTGGGGTGGGTGTAGGGAACTGAAGGAGGAAAGGGGTGTAATGAGAAGACTGAGAGAGGAGCAGGATAGAGGAGGAGTATGGGAGGAGCATAGTTACATGGAGATGACTGAGGGAAGAGCAGGATGGATAAACAGGTCTCCTCAGTTCTCTCCATCCATCCTTCTCCATAACTCCTACTGATCACAGCACTGTTCCTCTTTCCTCGGGCCTCTTCATCCACCCCTGGTCCCGCCTTGGACCCATACATCCACCCTGTTCTTTTCTCAATCCTTTCCAGCCATCCTGCTCCTCCCTCAATCCTCTCAAGCCACCATGCCTCTTCCTCTCTCCTACACATCCTGGATCAGGATGGTTGGAGAGGACCACATAAGGAGCAGTGTGGAAGGTGAGAGAGGGTGGGACAGCATGCATGGAGAGGACTGAGCGAGGAGCAGCACAAATGAAGAGGATTAGGGGAGGAGCAGGGTGAAGGGAGAGGACTGGGGGAGTAACCAGCTTGACCTAGAAGACAAAGAGAGGAGATGGATGAATGGAGAGGACTTAAGGAAAACAAGTACAGATGGACAAGACAGAAAGGGGAACACGAAGGGTAAGGAGGAATGAGAGTTGCGGCACTAAAAGGAGAGGACAGAGGGAGGACTGTGTGAATAAAGAGAACTGAGGGAGGAGAAGGGAGGATGAGGAGGAGCCACCAGGGAGCAGGCTGAACCCAGAGGGCTGAAGTAGGAGCAGGTTAGAATGAGATAACCGAGGGAGGAGTTGGATACAGGCAGAATACCGAAGGGATTGTAGGAGGACAGAGGGCTAAACCAGGCAGATGAAAAAGACTGAGGGAGGAAAGGGAATGAAAAGGTCCTAGGGAAGAGCATGATTGATGAGGATGAATGACAGAAAATGATGTTAATGTGGAAACTAAGTGCAGAGGAAAATGGATGGAGAGGACCAAGGAAGGAACACCACTTATGAGGTGGTGCAAGGAGAGAGCACAGTTTACGGAGAGGACTGAGGGAGCTTCACTGTGAGAAAGGCAGGTTGTGTGGGGTAGAAAGGGGGACAGTCACCCTGAATTGACAGGACTGAGGTAGGAACAGGATGGCTTTAGATGAGAAGTGTGAAGGTGAGGGAAGATAGATGGGGAGGAGTGAAGGAAGAACTGGGCGGGAAAGCAGGAGTGAGGGGGAAACAGGGTTGGATGGGGAGGACTGAGCAGGTTGGATATGAAGGAATGAGTGAGCAGCAGGGCTGGATGGTGATGCCTGGTACAGGAACAAGAAGTATGCAGATGAGGAAAGAGGGGGAATATGGGTAGTGAACAGAATGGTGGGGGGTTATCAAGATGGACGAGAAAGGAGAAAGATGGAGAGGACTGAGGGTAGAGCAGGGTGGATGGAGAAGACTATGAGATGAGCCATTTATTTTTTTTTCTTCTTGTCAATCAAATCTCTTTCATTTCTTTTTTTTTTAATTTTTTATTGTTGGTTGTTCAAAACATTACAAATTTCTTGATATATCATATTTCACACTTTGATTCAAGTGGGTTATGAACTCCCATTTTTACCCCATATACAGATTGCAGAATCACATCAGTTACACATCCATTGATTTACATATTGCCATACGAGTGTCTGTTGTGTTCTGCTGCCTTTCCTATCCTCTACTATCCCCCCCTCCCCTCCCCTCCCCTCCCCTCCCCTCTTCTCTCTCTACCCCCTCTACTGTCATTCATTTCTCCCCCTTGTATTATTTTCCCCTTTCCCCTCACTTCCTCTTGTATGTACTTTTGTATAACCCTGAGGGTCTCCTTCCATTTCCATGCAATTTCCCCTTCTCTCTCCCTTTCCCTCCCACCTCTCATCCCTGTTTAATGTTAATCTTCTTCTCCTGCTCTTCGTCCCTACTCTGTTCTTAGTTACTCTCCTTATATCAAAGAAGACATTTGGCATTTGTTTTTTAGGGATTGGCTAGCTTCACTTAGCATAATCTGCTCTAATGCCATCCATTTCCCTGCAAATTCTGTGATTTTTTCATTTTTTAATGCAGAGTAATACTCCATTGTGTATAAATGCCACATTTTTTTTATCCATTCGTCTATTGAAGGGCATCTAGGTTGGTTCCACAGTCTTGCTATTGTGAATTGTGCTGCTATGAACATCGATGTAGCAGTGTCCCTGTAGCATGCTCTTTTTAGGTCTTTAGGGAATAGACCGAGAAGGGGAATAGCTGGGTCAAATGGTGGCTCCATTCCCAGCTTTCCAAGAAATCTCCATACTGCTTTCCAAATTGGCTGCACCAATTTGCAGTCCCACCAGCATTGTACAAGTGTACCCTTTTCCCCACATCCTCGCCAGCACTTGTTGTTGTTTGACTTCATAATGGCTGCCAATCTTACTGGAGTGAGATGGTATCTTAGGGTGGTTTTGATTTGCATTTCTCTGACAGCTAGAGATGGTGAGCATTTTTTCATGTACTTGTTGATTGACTGTATGTCCTCCTCTGAGAAGTGTCTGTTCAGGTCCTTGGCCCATTTGTTGATTGGGTTGTTTGTTTTCTTATTGTCTAATTTTTTGAGTTCTTTGTATACTCTAGATATTAGGGCTCTATCTGAAGTGTGAGGAGTAAAGATTTGTTCCCAGGGTGTAGGCTCCCTATTTACCTCTCTTATTGTTTCTTTTGCTGAGAAAAAACTTTTTAGTTTGAGTAAGTCCCATTTGTTGATTCTAGTTATTAACTTTTGTGCTATGGGTGTCCTATTGAGGAATTTGGAGCCCGACCCCACCGTATGTAGATCGTAGCCAACTTTTTCTTCTATCAGACGGCGTGTCTCTGATTTGATATCAAGCTCCTTGATCCATTTTGAATTAACTTTTGTGCATGGTGAGAGAAAGGGATTCAGTTTCATTTTGTTGCATATGGATTTCCAGTTTTCCCAGCACCATTTGTTGAAGATGCTATCCTTCCTCCATTGCATGCTTTTAGCCCCTTTATCAAATATAAGATAGTTGTAGTTTTGTGGATTGGTTTCTGTGTCCTCTATTCTGTACCATTGGTCCACCCGCCTGTTTTGGTACCAGTACCATGCTGTTTTTGTTACTATTGCTCTGTAGTATAGTTTGAAGTCTGGTATCGCTATACCGCCTGATTCACACTTCCTGCTTAGCATTGTTTTTGCTATTCTGGGTCTTTTATTTTTCCATATGAATTTCATGATTGCTTTCTCTATTTCTACAAGAAATGCCGTTGGGATTTTGATTGGCATTGCATTAAACCTATAGAGAACTTTTGGTAATATCGCCATTTTGATGATGTTAGTTCTGCCTATCCATGAACAGGGTATATTTTTCCATCTTCTAAGATCTTCTTCTATTTCTCTCTTTAGGGTTCTGTAGTTTTCATTGTATAAGTCTTTCACCTCTTTTGTTAGGTTGATTCCCAAGTATTTTATTTTTTTTGAAGATATTGTGAATGGAGTGGTTGTCCTCATTTCCATTTCAGAGGATTTGTCGCTGATATACAGGAATGCCTTTGATTTATGCATGTTGA